CGTTTTAGATAAAAAATAATTACATTTAACTGAACTTAAATTATTAATTGTAAGCGAATTCACAAAAGGTGTGAACAAAGCTGAACCGTTAAAAAACTTAATATTGGAGAGAGTCCTAGAGTCACTTCGTTAAAGAATGATTTGAGAATAGTGTGCGAATTTAAAAAAGATGCAAAGATGTGAGCAAACAACGTCGTTGATAGCATACAGCCACGTGTGAGTACGCGTACAGGACAAAGACGCGCCGTTAATGCAGGTCTATTTAGCTTCCGTGCTGCGAAAAAACGTATATTCAAAAAAAAAAAAAAAAAAAATTGATTAGCAAGTTTGGAAATTGTGAAACTGCACATCAATTGGTCTGTAGAACAATTTAAGTAAGTATTGTTTTCAGATCAGTCCAAATTTAATTTGCGTATGTGACGTATGTACGAAGACCAACAGGAAAAAGTTTGTCAACAGGCAGATTAACAGGGAACAGGTCTGCGTTAATAAAAAAAAGCAATTTGATACCTTGAAGCGAGCCTGGTATGAAACAATTGACACACATATTACTAATTTAATTTCATTACGCCTATAAAATATACTGAATTCATTAATAGTGGCTATTCAATAAAATATTAATTTAGAAGTAATTTATTCCCCTTCTGTTATAAATTTTATATAAAGGTTGAAAAATAAAATTGAATTACGCGATCCTTCTTCTGCAAAAAAAATTAATGAAGTTATAGTTATGACGGAACAAGTGTTAGACTCGAGTTAGTCCAATGAGTTTTGTCCGACATTGTACATATCTATAAATTCTATGCAGCCATTTGCGCATAAAAAATATACGAATTGGTAAGCTTACATTGCTTAACATTTTTCTTATTTAACGTTAAAATAATAAAAACGTTAGAACTTAAAGGAATTAGTAGAATCAAACATTCTGCCCCTTGTATTTGATAGCTGCGTCAAAATCAATCACTGGATAATTCATGGCGTCGACTTCATTGTCAGACGGTCGATCGATTTGTATGAGCACAAGTCTCCCGGAATTTGACTTTGAATCTTCCAGTTTAAGTCAACAACATCAATATTTTTGGGAGCTAAAATTGCGCGTGCACTCAAGAAATCGAAATTAGTATAATTTGGCCAATGTTCTGATAAACATTCGTGATGAGTTCATCTTTCGTGAATTGATAAACAGAAGATGGAATTGATATCAAACTATCGGAAGTATCAACCGGAATCAAGCCATTACTGATTCTTAGCGAATACGATGTAAAATGTCTTCAGCAATGACATTTTGTTCGTATCCCATAATTGACGCGGATTTGAAGGTTGATATGTCAAAATGATCATCGCGAAAAGTGTGCGAACGTCCTAATGCAGTAGTTGAGAACTCACCTAGATGTTCATCTAGTGGTTGGACTGGTTGCGTAACTGTTTCTTCGACGATGCATTCCATGTATAATATAATATCAAGGTATTTCCGAAAAGAGCAATGTTCTTGCAAACGGATCACTGAAGAAAGTTCAGAAAACACTTGTCAATGGTAATTTTGTTGCTGGCATTGTTTCCGCTGGCTGTGCATGACTTGCAAAAGTAAATATCATACAAAGTGCTTTATTACAGTTCACGTATCGACCGTATCGTTCAAGCCTAATAAGCGCCATGTTGATCCTTTGGTGACGTGCTTACAAACGTATTTTATTTATTTCACCAAACTCCAATACTTAACATTGATATGAATTTTGAATGTAAATTAGACAATAATGGTGAATATAGTGCGATCCATATGTTGCCACTTTCGATATATTACACTCTTCTAAATTGAATGCTGAATGTTCTGCCATTGTCGTGTGTGGACGTGGGCACGTAGATAGTGTTCATTTATTGTCAGACGTACAAACCAAAGTGGGATTGTGGTGAACGCAAAGTCCATGAACCATATTGGTCTTCACAACTTTGTATAATTCTAGATCTATCTCTTATTATGATAACGAATGTCCGCAGAAATGATTTCATCAATTTGATCTGGTGTAACCACCATCCAAAAAAGAATGTGTGCGTGCGGCAAACCTCTCTTTTGCTACTCAACAGAGTACATCTATCATCAAGATAAAGTCCATCAAACATCGAAAATGTTGTTTGAAAGGTCGTGCTGTGGCATCGTGACGATCGGTTGCTGTTGTGCTTTGGACTGCCAATGTATGTTGACTCCAATTAGAGCGCCGACCGATAATAACATGACCTTTTTGTGGCATCGTAACAAATTTCAATCTGTAATTGATCTCTCTGTGCGAAACACATAACGTTTTCACTAAATAATTTCCAATATTTTTTTTTCTTTTGAAAAGCCGGGATAAAGAAATCAAACGACAAATTTGACCGATTCAAATAATAGAAAAACAAAACAAAAAAATACAAAAAAAAATCTTTGGTATGAAAAAAAGTTATTTTAGTTATTTTTTGGAATTGTCCAATTTTCGACTTTTCCTCACAAAAAGCCCGATCACCAGCGAACAACCTCTGAAAATTTCGTCAAGATTGGGTCAGCCGTTCTCGAGCATTAGCGTTACTAACATACACCCATTCATTTTTTTGTATTTGAAAAAAATAGGACTGTTTGTAGGGGTTTTTCGGCAACTCGAATTTTTCTCGCCGTAAAAACCATCTTTGAACCTTAACGAACATTTAGAAAAAAGAATTGGCCAAATTGGTGCATTGTTGAGTTATGCCTTTAGTAACACATTTTGCGATTCGTTTTTATATATAAGAAGATTAGACAATTTTTCACATCGAATTGAAAAATTATTCATTGCCGGACAAATTACCATTGTATTTTAAAGAGTGAATATCGATATTTTTGCAGCTAAAATAGCTTGTTCACGAAGCCACGCATGATAAATCAAATCAAAACAATTATTGAAGCATTAAAGCCTTTTCGCATAATCAAAATAATTTAGTACTTATATTATGATTATAATTGCGAAACCAGTTTATGCCTTCCTCACAACTGGTTACTGGATCAAAGATAAGCCGGTAATTGGCTATTGCTTAATCAATACATGTGAACATCGTAAAGAAAAAGTTAAAAAATATTACTTTAATTACACATTAAAATTGCACTTAATAGAACCTAATATAATATTTCAGTACACATATGATTTTTATTATACAAAGGTGCGAAGTTTTAATAATAATTCTTAACAAAGGGATTTTTTCCCGGTAGCGAGGCTGCGTTGTGGCTGTTAATCATTTTTAAATTATTTTGTTTATTTCTAACAAAATTCTAAACTTTAAATATATATGTTGACTTATGCAAATTATTTCTCTACTGGATGCCAAAAATGTAAACAATGCGATCCACTTTTTACCTGGAACTGTATATTTTGCTCGAACCTTTCACAATTTAATCGCCCTTATCAGTATGTTGCAGATTAACTTAATGTTAAATACCATTCTCTGTCTAAATTTAACATTCTGTGTTATAAGTAATGCATTTTTTTTGAATTTACGCTCGGTTAAAAATTAACATTTTCTGAATTTTTTTTTTACAAACCATCCTCATTGGATTTTCTTCAAAGTGGTTCAGGGCATTTTTCATTTCATGCAAAACCGTCAGCTATAGCGAACAGACAAAAACCCAACTTATTCTTTTGTATAAGATATAGATTTATGAAAGGAAGAACTTCCCTCTTCGAAACCAAAATGCAATTGCGCTTTTTTCTTCTTTTTGCAATGTGGCACCAATTGGATATTCCAAGGAAAGTCAGGTCCTTCTAAACCTGGTCTTTCCAAAGGAGTCTTCCTCAGATTCACTTTTCGGGTACAGTGTCGAATATTTTCAGAGATAGAGTGTTTTCTTCCATTCAGACGACATGGCTCAGTCCGAAGTAGCACATGTGGTTATACTACGTTGGATTTCGAAGCTGATATTGTAGTTGCTGTTGGTACTGGTTCCAAAATAGATTAAATTATCTACGACTTCGAAGTTATGACTGTCAACAATGACGTGGGAGCCTAGTCGCGAATGTGACGACTCTTTGTTTGATGACAGGAGGTATTTCATCTTGCCCTCGTTCACAACGAGACCCCATACTTTTCTATTCTGGAGAAAGCAGAACTAACCGCGCGGTTGTTAAGGCCAATGATATCGATATCGGCGGCGTACGCCTGTAGCTGTACACTGTTATAAAAGATGATACCTTCTCTACTTAGTTCTGCAGCTAGAAATATTTTCTCCATGAGTAGATTGAAACCTCGTTTGGTAACAAACGGTTCAGAGACGTCCTTCTCGATTATGACACAGTTTTTAGTATTGCTCAACGTCGGTGTACACAGTCATACAAAATTCAACATAGCGGCATAAAGGTAGCTCGTTTTCGTGCTGTCGAAAGTAGCTTTAAAGTCGACGAAGAGGTGGTGGAATGAAGTATTGTAATGCGCTGCATTGTAAATAAATATTTATTAATGTATAAGTAATTCTTTAATTCTTATTTATTTTGTGATGTTATTTGTTTATACTTTTCTTTTGTTATGCTAGTTACTTAATACATTTTGAAATAATATTTATTATCTTTCTTTAACAAATTGGCTTTGGCATCGGCCCATTCTTTGTCAACTGGTCGATAAATCGGCATCGCGAGACTATAAAATATTTGGTTTTACGTAAACTTAGCCATTCATTACTTGTTTTAATCTTAATACAACGGTTTCAAAAAATAAAAGATTTTTTTGTTTGGATAAACAATTTAAAGAATGTAGGGGCCTGCTTATTTCTAAAAGTATGTAAATTGGAGCGTGGCGATTTTTTGCCATAAAGTCGCGTATGCGGAAAAAGTTCTACGGATCGTTGTGAACACCTTTGTCTAAGAAACTATGGGTATAAAACTGGTTTCGAGCTAGCCATTTTTAAGGATGAGTGATCCATTTCCACTCTTAACCGCTTACCATTATCTATTTAACGTAATAAAAGTTTTAATGCATTTTGTATAAAAAACTTTCTATTGTAATTTGGATAGGCTTGGAATAACAAAAAAATGACTCTTGGTGAAAAACATAATGGAAACGTATCGTACCTGACAAAGAATCGAGATATCAACCTAGCACAAACCATTGATATACAACAACAGAACAATCAACAGCAAACAGATACAATGGCATCGGCTACAGCAAACGAGAAGAATAGTGTTATAAATAAACATGCAGCAGCTTCAGGCGTTGTAACAATCTTTTCAAAACAGGTTAGTAATTTTAAAATTTATTTTATATTTATAAATTAATATAATTTTGTGTTTAATTTTATGTACGTTGGCAAATTTTATTAAAAAGCAAAAAAACAATATATACATATCCATGGCGAACGTGCTTGGTAGTCTGAAATTGGCCACAAGAGAGTCCTGTGCAAAATGGCTCTCCGAGTTTTTTTACCAATATATATATAATAGAGTATTATTTTGGATAATAATCGAAACTGTTGTTTCATCTAAAAATTAAGAGTTTTTTTATTAATTGATGTCTATTTATATTATTTACATTTTTCTTTACCTAAAAATTAAGAGAAACAATATTTAATGTCAATTATTCCTCTATTTTATTTAAAGAGCATGTGCTTCTATCGTCTGCTCCTTTGCGTGCTTAATCTATCTTAATTATAATTTTCGCTTATACATGTAGTGACCTCTATCGATTATATCTCAAGTCTAGTTTTATAATATACCTAGTGACATCTACTGTTAGTATGGAAAGAGTATCCTTTTCATTACATCTCCCCCCCTGACTGCTAGTAGTTTTGATATATGGAATACAATTGATTCCGCTTTTTAATTTCCTGTACTTATTTTAATGATACATTTTGATATTTTCTCAAGTATTGCAAAAGGACTGCTTCTGATTTCGCTTAATTTCTTTCCATTCAGTTTGTTACCGTTTTCTACAAATACTTTTTTCCGATCTTAAATTCATACTCGACTCTTGATTTATCTAACAATTTCTTATTATAATTGTGGGACCTTTGACTATTTGTAAACGTGATTTCTCTATCATGTTTTAGGTCTTTATGTTCTTTATCCAGCTCTTTTGGCAGAATTTTAGTATAATATGGGTTCGAGGAACGGCAGATCCTCTTCCCCGCCATCCATCGTACTGCTATCAATTGGACCTACTAACCCGTCGAGGAGCTCCTGCGTGGAGGGTAGCTCTGCCGTCTGACCGCAGCGGCAGACATCGGGGACGCCGGTGGTCGCCTTTGGCACTGCTTGCTCAGTCCTGCTTCCTCAGAGCTTCCCCGACACCTCGACCACCTGCATTTCTGCTACGTCCATGGCTGCCTCTTCTAGAGAGTTGCAGGCGTTTCACATCCCTTGCTCCCGATGGCTGCGGGCCTGTGGGCCCGCATGACCACCGTGCTGAACCTGTAGTACAGGCAGAAGCTCGCTGCCTGGACGTACAAGTACAATTTCCAACCTTTCATCTCTCCAATCTCCTCCATTCCGCCCTCTGCGCACAAAGGACATCGCCCTTCCAGCCTCCCAGCCTCCCAGCCATGGAGCGTATTCCCTCAGCCAGTTGGCGGACGTCTCATCCATGCAGGCCACTTGCAGCATACCTCTTCCAAACTCCACTCCCAGGAAGGACGCCGCGTAGTCCTCTCCTCTGAACACCTCCTCCATGAGGAGGTCCTGGAGCACGGTGAGCTCGTCCGGTTTCAACGACTCCGCCGGGTAGTTAAAAGGCAGTACAGCCATGCGGATGCCTTTAAGAGCGTCCGCATATCTACGCCGCCACTGCTCCACTCGGTGGGGAGCCGGCCCAGATGGTTGGCCTCCGGCTGCTTTTGGATTGTTGCCCCTTAGTTTTTTGGAGCTTTTCCGCTTTGCGGCTTGGGCATACGTGTCCGCGGGCAGTGCCTTGCTATCGCCATCCTTCGTCGGGGATGCGTTGCTCCCTTTGCCTTTGTTCCTAGCTAGAGCCTTCGCCACCTCCGGAGTCTTCCCATCACAGAGGTACCACTTCATGATGTAACCGCTCATTCCCTTCCTGCGTGGATCGTCACACCCACCGGGTTGACCAGCTTCTGGGAGGGGGCGTTGCTCACCTCTTCTGCGCCTTCTCCTTCTTCTCTACGAACACCCTCAGACTCTGCCCGATGTGACTGATCTGAGTCCTACCCACTGCCCCTTCCGGCGCAAATCTTGGCGGAGCTCGTTGCTGCCAGCGGCACCAGGCGTTTTCGTCAGGTGAGCGCCGCTACAAGAGGGCACGTCGTCATCATCCTCCCTGGGGTGCTCCTCAAACAGCTACGCTCCTCTGGCGAAAGAGCGTCAAGGAAGCTAAACTTCCGCCTAGCTCCTTGACCCCCCTTGCCTGCCGCTGCACCGATATCCCTTCCGTTGTCCGAGTCCGTTTTCTTTTGTTGTTGCCTTTGTTCCACGTTGTCCGAATTTTAGTTATTGTTTGATTTTATAGTGCTCATCTTGTTCTTACGACCCTTGGCTCAACAAGGTGAGCTGATAGGTCTATTATTTTAATGGGGAACTAGGAGGTCCGGCACGCCAGAGCCCCTTGACGCGGTGAGCCCCCAGTTACTCCCCAATTCGACCTGGTGTTAGGGAGCCTCCGTTTAAGTACAGCCGAATTTACCTCCTGGTTGCAAATCATCCAATGGGCACGGAAGTCGCATAACACCCTGGATTAGAAGGTGGTAGCTCTTGGTTAGCGCATGCATGCGGCGCCCGACATCCCGCATGGGCAGTGCTTCTCAGCATCATCCACGCAGGTTGGGGGACTCCGAGTATGCCTTGCGCCTAAGCTCCTGCACCGCACCTTGCCGCGGCATACCATTCGCAGAGGCAGAGAGTAAGTAAAACAAATTTTAGTTTTATATTGGAATTAGAGTTTTTTTTAATTACAGTACAAAAACTTAACTTGTTCTTTAAACTACGTACTATTAAATATTTTAATAGGTACTGAAATTAAATGGCACATATTACAATCGCGGTCTTCTGAATATATAAAACTACAGTATATCTGGTTTTAAACATTAGTGATTTAGTAAAAAGAAGCAATTATAAAATCAAATTTCCATCACATAAGTTTTCGCAGTCCTGGCAATAAAGTCTGCATGTTGCAAATTTTTTACAAATTTTTCAAATATATTTCTGATCGGGGCTAATCGTTCTATCTCTATTCTCTCATTTCGGTTATCAGGGCTGTCAAATCCAAACATTTGAAGTAAGAAAACCAATCTGTTTTTACACATTGTGTGTGTTTTGTGAAAAAACAAGCTAAATAGTGCCATCATTTCTACCGGCGTTGTTTTTAAATTTTGTTGGTCGTTAGTAGATTGCAAACGAATTTTATCATTCGTATAATTCAGATAGATGAGATCTTTCTGGTACTCCTGTTTTCACGTCGTAACTAGCAGATAATTGGTCATCAATCTTGACTTGAAATTGTCAATCTGATAAGTAGGAACTGATTCACTTCAAGGCGTTACCAAGTATGCCGATCAAGTTTAACTTCTTAAGGAAGATGGTATGAATAACTCTGTCGGTTTTAGTTACAATATGCCCATTATTCATTGCATTGAATACATAGTTATTATATGTTGATAAATCCATGTTTATTAGTATTGATGTCTGTTACTAACACACTCATCTGGGGTAAGACCATCTTTTCAAAAGGTTTTGCTAGCGTTAACTGAATTCATATAGGTGTGTAATTCGATACCTTAGATTTAGGTCTGTCATTGTGGATTAGGCTAACATAGGAGAATTTCCACTCAGTGGAAAGCTCTTAATAAAGATGCTGGAAATGCCGTCTGGCCCAGCACTTTTCTTAGGGTTTATTGACTTCATTGTTTTATGAACATTGTTAACGGTGATCCCCGGTTAGTGTGAAATCTGGACGATGTACTACTGGTGAATAAGTTATTTTGAAGAAAGAAGCAAATAAGTTAAATACATTTTATATATCGAATTTATCGAGTCCAACCGTTTTAATTTTTTCCTCAGGTAAGATAGCTGGATGAATGGAGTTATGTGTCGAAGTTCACGCAAGTGAGGAAAGTTCTCTGATCGCCATTCACTTGGGAATGGCCAGAAACGATTCTTTTACATATGGCTGAAGCAGCTCACGACTTCCGGTCTTTGTCCAAGTGTTGGCTCTAGGTTGCTTAAGAACATCCGTTTGAACGCGAGCTAAAGTGAGAATGCGGAACATAACCCCCGCAGGGTTGTGCGCTGGGGTTGGGACCGGCCACGTAAAAAAACCCACCCAATGAAAAAGAACACAAGCCTTATTGATGTCCTCGTTACAGTGAAGGCTGACGTCACCGGCGTCCAAGAAATGCGATGGACGSGACAAGGACAGAGACGAGTAGGTCCTTGGGGCATTTACTACAGTGGCCATATAAAGGAGCGCAAGTTTGGTGTGGGATTCGTGGTGGGAGAGAGACTCCGGCGCGAAGTACTATCATTCACTTCGGTGAATGAACGTCTAGCCACAATCCGCATCAATGCGAGGTTCTTCAACATTCGCTGATTTGCGCCCACGCCTCGACGGAAGAGAAGGACTTTGTGACCAAAGATGCCTTCTATGAGCGCTTGGAGAGCACTTATGAGAGCTGCGACTTTAACGCCAGGGTGGGCAAAGAAGGTATCTTTGTCCCTACGGTCGGTAAATTCATCCTCCACAAAAATGGTTATCTGTAGTACTAGCTTAAAGCACAAGACAATTCATCAAGCTACCCTGCTGTCTCCGGATCGAAAAAGCCACCAACCAGTTTGATCATGTTGTTATAGACGGAAGACACGTCTCCAATGTTTTAGATGTGCGTGCGCTCCGAGGTCCTAACATCGACTCAGACCACTATCTTGTTGCAGCTAAGATTCGCACTCGCCTCCGTGCAGCAAAAAACGCACGCCATCAAACGCAAGAAAGGTTCGATGTCGAGGAGCTACAATCACAACAGACAGCCGAACGATTTTCTACTCGGCTTGCACTCCTGCTCTCTGAGAGCACTCGTCAACAACTCGGTATAAGGGAACTGTGGAACGGCATTTCAAACTCCTTACGTACAGCTGCAACCGAAACCATTGGTTTTCGGGAAGCGCAAAAGAACACCTGGTACGAGTAGTGTGGTGTCGTAGCCGAAAGAAAACGGGCTACAAAAGTATTCGGAAAATTAATTTCAAGTCTGTCTACCTCACAACGCAACGTTACTATCGACCACAACACGTGC